CAAACCACCTATCTGATAAGGGGTTAATATTCAAAGCATATAAAGGACTCATACGACTCAATAACAAAAAAAAAAAATCTGATTTAAAAATGGACAGAAGAACTAAATAGACATTTTTCTAAAAAAAGACACACAAATGGCCAACAGATACATGAAAAGGTGCCCTAATTGTCAGGAAGATGCAAATGAAAACCTCCATGAAGTATGACCTCATACCCTTTAGATGGCTGTCATCAAAAAGATGAGAGATAAGGGTTGGCAGGGGTGGAGAGAAGAGGGGACTCTTGTACACAGTTGGTAGGAATTAGTGAAAACAACATGGAGCACTATGAAAAACAGTGTGGAGGTTTCTTTAAAAAGTAAAAATAGTACTAACATATGATCCAGCAGTTCTGCTTATGGCTTTAGATTCAAAGGAAAGGAAAACAGGACGTTGAAGACAGATCCTCACTGCCATGTTTATTGCAGTATTATTCACAACCACGATATGGAAATAACCCAGGCGGGTATCAACAGATGAATGGATAAAGAAAATGTGAGGTTATGTATACATATAATCTACATATATGTATATAATCAGATTATATATGTGATATACATGATTTATATTATACATAATGTAAGACTATATACATTATATATGTTATATATACCAACCAAGAGAAAAGAAATCCTGCCATTTGCAAGAAGATGCATTGACCATGAGGGCATTACATTAAGTGAAATCAGTCAAACAGGGAAAGACAAATACTTTATGATATTACTTATATGTGGCGTCGACAGAGGCCTAACGCACAGAGCCAGAGGGTAGAATGGTGGTTATCTGGAGCTCAGGGGTGGTGGAAATCGGAGATGCTGGTCAGAGTACAAACTTGCAGTTAGAAAATTAACAAATTCTGGGAATCTAATGCATGGCATTGTGATATTGTTTACAGTACTGTGTTTCTATCCTTGAAAGTCGCTATGAGAGTAGATCTTAAATGTTCTCACCACAAAAAAGAAATAATAATTATGTGACTTCATAAAGGAATTAGCTAACACTACGGTGGCAATCATAGACTATATATAAATATATCAAGTGTACATAAGTGTGCTTAATGCATATGTGTATCAAATCAACAAGTTGTTCACCTTAAATGTACACAATATATTTCAATTATATTTCAACAAAACTGTAAAATACAAGAGACACGTTTATCTCCATGTTCACACATTGAGTTTACGCATTAATTTATTTATTCATTGAACATTTACCAAATGCTGACTTCGTTAACTCTGTTAACTGAACAACCACCAAATCCTATTGTGAGGAAAACAGAGATACAAAAAGAGTCTGAACATTTTCATTCACTCACCCATTCATTCCCTGACTCACACAATAAACACTATTTAATAAATATCAATCGTGCATCACCTGAACCTATGCAAAAGGGATGGCACATACCTCCTCTGTAGACATGGCCAGAAGTGGCCCAAACGAGGGCAGGTTCTAAGATGTCCATGAAGCCCACCTGCCACCATGTCACAAAGGCCATATTTCCATGGGTACAATCACTGCGGAGGAAAAACCGGTCCATTCACCCATTAACTCATTTATTAAAGACTTATTATTTTAACTCTCTACAAGTGCCATTCTCTGGGCTTTTTCAGAATATAGAGTTAGACAAAACACGGACCCCATCTTTGGGAGTTTGAAGCTCAGGAGATCTGTTTGCCTTCCTTTTTTGTTTTAGCATTTTGAACTTTATAAAATATATTTATTTATTACTTCATTTGATTATCAAAAAGAAGCCATGAAGTAAGCCCGACAGATATAGTTTTTCCCATTTGACAAACAAAAAATCACAATTTAGAGAGGCTGAGCGTCCTGCTTGACATGGCTGAGGTGACCCGTGTGCCTTTCGTGGCATGTACCATAACAGTGTGTCTGCCATCCCTCCGTTTTGCTGTCGAAGTCACCGGACCTGCCGTGGCGTGGCTCACTGAAAATGCTTTATAAAGAGAGGGTCACAAAAAGCGATGCATACGTTCCTCAAACATGTTTATTTCAATTTAACGAACGTACACTAATTCTCTAGTTTTTTTCTAAAACACCGGACCTTCGGTTCACGCATCGGCTGCCCGATTGAAATACCACACAGTCTTCCTCAGATACTCACACCCATAATGCCTCATCTATGAATTCTCAATTTCAGTTTCTTTAAAGTGAGGCCAGAATTACAGAGACATGTGAAATCTTCTGAATCCAGAATCCTTCTAGATGTTTATGCTTTCCTCCCAATCTTTTCGAAGCATCTGGCCCACACCTAATTCAGCAGAAATATTTGCAGCGACTTTCCTTTTCAAGGCTTTCCAAAGGACTCAGCGTAGTGTTCAGAGATGCTGTAGCTCTCCTCAAGGGTTCATATTCCATTGCTTTACACACTACTGAGTTAGAGAAACAAGCACAATTGGCACGCGAAGGGTAGAGGTCAAACGTAACCAATGTAAGCACACGATGCCACGACATAAGCAGAGGCGTTGGTGGAGGGCCTGATGCTGTGAGGCTGCACCCCCGAAATCTAAAGAAGAGAAGTCCGTTGCAAGTGGGTGGTCATGTGTTTGACTCAGGGAAAATGCTGCCGAAAAATAAGAAATTATTTTTCTAAGTTGCATTTAAGAGTATTTGCCCAATCTAAAATTTAAAATCGATCTTGGTTACAAATACTGCAGATTCTTAAAAGACGGAGTCTCTCTTGGAATAAAAGTCATAGTGACAACATTTTTTGACTTTATTCTCATTGTCTTAGGACTGTCTCTCTATAGTCAGCATGGGACTTATGATGCTGTTTGTACTTAATAGTTGCTGAAGCTGTGACTGAAAAAGCCATCTTTGAAATATAAAGAAATCTGAGTTGTTGGAGCTTTGAAAATCAGGTCATTCTCCTTCTAAGTAAAGGGCTCAGTTCGGTCAGTTCTGTATTAATCATAGCAGTTGGGAGAATAACTTTATTAAGTGGGACATGTATTGGGGAAGGTAGATGTTTCTCTAGGTGGTTAAGAAGATTTTCTTTTGGTTTACTTTTAAAATATTTAACAGAAAATATGAACTTTATTCATCATGTGATTACCTAAATACTCTGACCCAAGGCTAAAGAATTGGCAAAATATCCTGGAAATGTTTCTTTCTTTTTTTTTTTAGATGAGAAGCACCAACATGATTGGCAGTTCTAGACTATTCTCATGTGTTAAGCTCTGGGGCCACCGCCTTCCATGGAAACTGTGTGGTCTCTGTTATCAAGGTTTATGTGTCCCTTCAGTTCACAGGCATTACAAGGGGCGTGGTTTTCCCAGTAAGTCCTTCTCTGGGCTGAAAAAGTCATTTTGTCTTTTTCACAGCCAAGAGCTTCGTAATGCTAATTCTTCTTTGGAACAATTTTAGGCGAGTTCTCTTGAGTCACAATGTTGTGATGTCTCTAAGGAGTATAAAATCAAAGCCATTCTTATGGGACCTTGAAGGATTAGTTTTTCTGCTTTTATGCTAAATGGGGTTTAAAAGGGAAGAATCCAAATAGAAATCAAAGAACAGGCAAAGAAGATCGGCAGGCTCACTGGGGACAGCTTCATCTCCCTGTTCCTCTTCCTCGCCTTTTCCATCTGCTCTCCTTTTTTCTTTTTTCTTCTTGCTTTGCTTCTTCATTCTTTCTTCCTTTACTTCTCCCCTCTCCTTTTTTTTTTTTTTTTTTTTTTTTATTTTAGCATCCCC